TATGGGACATGTCTATAATTATAAAGAGACTAAAATCTTTGACAATTATGCAACATTGTCACATCGTATCGGCCTGCTCCCGCACCAAAACTGTGCGTCACTCATGTTAATTTGTATTATACCATTCACAGCTTTCCACTTCATTACGTATGTGATCTATTTATTACTGTTTATCGCTCTACCACCACTTCGTACACTTGTTCTGCAATAGCATTCTCTAAATTGCGTTGGTTCTATTGTTATTTTCTTAGCTTATCAAAGATATACTTAGATCAATTATAAATTGATAAATCTATCAAAAAAGTATGGATAGTGAGGACAAAATCATATTTCTTAAATGGATAATGTTATTATGAAAATAAAATAACAAATAATAACCTAACACTATATATAATATTAAAAAAATAAAAGAGTGAAGCATGTGATCCATATAATTCAGTTTAATAGCTAGAGAGTTTAGATACAGGTTGGAACTGAGTAAACGCACAACAAATATTTAGAAGTTACTCTCCGAAGCATGAAGAAAGAAAAAGCATACGTACGAGATAAAATCAACCAGCAACTAAATGCGCATTAAATCCATTGGTGTATGTATACCGTGTTAGCTGGTAATAAGATCAGAATAAAAAACTTAAATAAAAATATTTATTAAGAAACATAATATTTGATTATTAGCAATTTTAAAACTCACTTTGTAATTAATATATTATCTAATTTTTAAATGCTCAACGTTTATCATACGTACATGTACTAACAGCGGGATTAATTTCCTAATTAGCAAGTTGCTCCATGTAGTTAAGAACTAAGCAGTCATCGAATCCTATAGTCTACAATTTTTTCTGATACATTCAGAGTGATGCCAGTTGGGTTTTGGATTTTTGTGTATTAGATTAATCATGTGTACTCGTAGATCAAAGATTGTAGTGTTAATAAACGTCAAAGGAATAACACAAATTTTGATTCAGAATGGTGATAAACAAGTATTAATGGTGTTAGCATTATTCTGAAGAAGGGAGACCCAAGAAAAAAGGGGAAAGAAAGCCTACAGAATGTCTTATCGAGATGTGGTCAAATGGTTATAATTATTAGTTTGTGTGAAACAAAACAAATATTTCATTCAGTCATTGATAAAAGTAAAATATAATGGGTCTTGCATGCACATACACGAAAGATTTAAAAAAAAACGCAATGTTGAGAATAGTGTGAACAGAACAGACTACAGGGACCTTGGAGAGGGAGAGAGAGAGAGAGAGGAGCATCATGTTGATCGTAGATGATTACAGAGTGGCCCTTCGTGTGGTCACATGGATTGCTCTGAAGTCTGGACTTGTCCCGATTGTTTAAGTGGTGGTGTTTTTAATGATCATTTGACAGGTAGTGAAAGAATGCTCCATGGATCGATAGAAAATTTAAAAGAAAAAGAAAATATGAAATGTAATAAATAATATGATAAAAGAATAAATATAAATATAAAAAATGTAAAATATAATAATTGATTTTTTTTTCGTCCTCCTTTACGCTTGTATGGATCTGCCTAGGAATCTGAGCTATTACCAGCTTTTGGTGACCTCTTTGTTCCATGCCCAAGTGTCCGAGAACACGTTATTACCCAATGAAAACCCCGACAGACTTAATTGATAAATAATAATTTAAAAAAAAAAAATTTTCCACCGTTATGAATTAGTTCACATTTAAAAAAAAAATTGTTTAGATTAAATGAATTAGATAGTTGATTCATTTATTAGTTTTCTAGACAAAATGGCCAATTCATGATCATGAGGCTGAATTTTAAACACTAATAAAACAAATAACGTGAATTTTTTTTTAAAAAAATTTAAATACGTTTTTTTTTCACTCCAGACTCTGAAAACATGATTTTACTAGTCGGAAATTCAAATTATTTTTCGATATGCCATCAAACAAAATGATTTTTTGGAAGTCTAAATTATTTTCTTATCTTCAATTAATAAACATCATTCCTTAGTCTTTTTTAGTTCTTAAATTTAATAAAATTTATATCCCCACTCAAGGCTTGGGTGAAAAAGGAAACTATATGTAATTTATAAAAAAGTGTTTCAACTAATTTACTAAATTAAATTGTTGTAACTAAAATTTATAAGCTTTTATAATTGAAACAATGCGTTTGTGTACAGTAAAAAAACACGTTCTTCTTTACTTTTGCTGTGTCCAATAATGATGTTTATGGATTAGATTTCTAAAAAAATAATTTTAATTTTTTTAAAACTGATTTAAATTTAGTTTTAAAATTTAGATTTTGTTTAAATTTAATTTTAAACTATTTTTATATATAATAAAAATATACTATAAATATTTTTATATTATTATTAAATTATTATATTAAAAATATTTAAATTTTATAACAATAATATAATATTATATATATATATATATAATATATATATATATGTTAAGCATCAACATTTATTAAAGATAAAATATGAATACAAAAAGTACTCTAACTTATTACATTTCTAAACAAATTAACAATACATATCAAGAGAATATTTGTGTATATTTTAATTTATTAATAATAAATTTTATTTTTATATTTTATTAAAATAATAAATATTTAGATATATTTTACTTTTTATCATCTATCTATCACACAAATTAATTATATAAATTAAATTTTAAACTATTTTTTTATTTTTTAATTGGTTTAAAAATAGTTTTAAAATTTAAATTTAGTTTAAAATTGATTTTAAATTTAATTTTTGTTAAAAATAGTTTTAAATTTAGTTTTAAGTTAAATTTAGTATTAAATCTAAGTTTATTTTTAAGATAAAACTAATTTATTATACAAAACATTGCATTAAATTAGTGTGTTTCAAAAAGATTTTAACAATATTTACTAATATATTATATTTTATAGAAGTGTATAAAATATTTATTACTATTTTTAAATTATTTTTAATAAACAGAATTTATAATAAAGTTTAAATTAAAACTTATAAAAATAAAAATTAATAATATAAATAATAATAAACTTATTATGTTATAATATTTTAAAAATTAAAAAATAAACATAAATATAAAAATAATAGTAGTAATTAATTTAAAAATATTTGTTATATTTTAATATCTTTAATTATTTTAAATATTTAATTTTAATTATAAAAATTAAGATTATTAAAAAAATATTAATGATAAAATGTAGTTACAATAAAATTTTATAAACTAATATAACGTAAAGATTTAATAAATAAAAATATAAAATAGTAGTTATATATATATATATATATAAATTTAGATAAATAAAGAAAAATAAATTTAAATACTAAATTAGTTACACAAATATAATTAATAAAATAATTAATTTAATATAAATTTAAATTTTTAAAATTAATTTAATATTATTTATGAATTATACTTGAAAAATGATTTTTAAAACACCCTGGTGTCCAAAAAGAAAAAGATAACGATAACAGATATTCACAAGAGCGATGACAGGAGCGATGATCACTGTCATCGCAGTGAGACCCTGCCTTGTTGAACTGATACTGTTTATCTTGTATATAGTTTTCTATATGCTTTTGTCCCCTTACCGACCAGCCGTTTGTTTCATACCTAAATATATATGCACACACAACACATTATTTTCGGCTATAATTTGTTCTTATAGTTGAATGTCATATATTTTAAGGATATGGTCAAGTTATTCCAGAAATGGAGATCGAAGATTTATATTTTAAGGATATGATTTTTCTACATTTAAAATTTTGTTTGTACAAGGAAAAACATTTTACATAAATATAAATTAAATATATATACGTCAAAAAGAAACTAGATAAGGTAACATTTGACGTAAATAGAATGAAATAAATTAGATTTTTTTTCGTTCTTTGTAACTGTACCTTGTTAATACTAAAATATCCTAGTGTTTATTATTTTTTAAAAAATTTTGATACATTGAACTTCAACTAGATCCAGTTTAAATAAGCTCGTAGATAAGTTATTATAAGAGAAAAAATAATATAAAAAATAATTAAAGCTCTTTCTGTGTATTTCTTTATTTTTTAGAAGTTATTTTCATTTAATTTCTCTTAAATGTAAAACATTCTTATATAAGAAATTTTATTTTTTTAAATTATTTGCCTTCTACTTATATATCCACAAACTTACTTAAACATGTCTTAGTTTAAATCCAATTGAGTTGAAAGATTTAAGGGGAGAAATTTTTTTTTTTCCATTCATTTACTGGACATATTCAAGGTACCTGTAAAGGGGGGAAAAAAAACACTCCTTATCAATTAAACCAATAAAAATAAGTTCAATTTCTTTCATCAAGATATATCAAATATATATAACTCATACATTTCCATGTCTTTTAACATGTTTACCAAAAGATAAAGGCTAAAGATACATATAAAATAATTGATTTACTTTCATCCTACAACTAATACGTAATGTTTGCTCATAACGTGGTGGTTTTGTCTGTCATTACAAAGGGTTGTGAAAATCATTAATTTATTGCTAGTACTGTTATAAATTTGAGGAATTAAGAAAGCGCCAAGAGAATCTTTCTGTGAGTTTCCCTGTGGTTAAGTTAGTGCGATCAAGGAACTGGTCTACGACGAGATACCTCACGTGCATAGAGCTGTAGCTTTTTGTTTGTGTGAGCAATCCACTTTGAGATTTGAAGACAGAGTGGCTTTGTTTTGTTCATTAGGGTGTTGATCATAAAAGGGTTACTTTGTTTGCTTTGTTAGTGCTCGTGCTTTGGCTTTTGGTCAAGTATACCTTCCTTTCTTTGCCCAAAACTGTTTTTAGTATGTAATCATTAACCTTTCATCTTCCATTCTTTCCCAAAAACTGTTCTTACCATATCATCTAATCATTAACCCTCATATCACTCTAAAAATTGTACACAAAACTTTTTATCATTCTCTCTCTTTCTTTTTCTCTCTCAAACTTTTTCCCTCTCTCTCTCCTTTGATACCCATATCAACAATTTCAACTTTATCTAACAGGTGATAAAAACAATGGCCCTAGAGGCTGTGGTTTTCCCACAAGATCCATTCACTTATGGTTGCAAAGATTACATGTACTCGTTAGTAGGAGGGTTCCAAGGATCAGAAGACAAAGCCCTTGTGGGAATCATCAACAACAACAAAGAGCACAATCTGCATGCAAATTGGGAGTCGTCTTCTTCTCCTTCAGTGTTGCAAAATGTCAAGGATCAGTGGGATTCACACTCCTCCCCTGAACCCACTCCCACCAACACCACCACAGGTAGGCGCAAACGACGTCGTACCAAGAGTACCAAGAACAAGGAGGAAATCGAGAACCAAAGAATGACCCACATTGCCGTTGAGCGAAATCGAAGGAAACAAATGAACGAGTATCTCGCTGTTCTCAGATCCTTGATGCCTCCTTCTTATGTACAAAGGGTAAGTTAATTAGTCTATATTCCATTATTAGAAATCAAAATTAAAAGGGTTATAGTTATAGCACGACAAAACATGACACACGAGTTTGATTTGTTTCCCAATTGTTTTGACCTTAACTTTAACTTATGCTAATGGGTGAAAACGTCAAAACAGGGTGATCAAGCCTCAATTATTGGGGGTGCCATTAACTTCGTGAAGGAGTTGGAGCAGCTTCTACAGTGCATGAAATGCCAAAAGAAAACAAAGGAACAAGGACAAGTTAATGGGTTGGGTGACTCGTCACCGTTTTCTGAGTTCTTCATGTTTCCTCAGTACTCCACGCGTGCAACACAGAGTAACACGGGTTACCCTGCCACGAGCGATGGCAATACGGCACAGAACCATTCATGGGCCGTGGCAGACATAGAAGTGACCCTTGTGGATAGCCATGCCAATATAAAGATACTCTCAAAGAAACGACCTGGGTTGCTTTTGAAGATGGTTGTTGGGCTTCAGAGTATTGGTCTTATCATTCTCCACCTTAATGTTACCACTGTGGACGATATGGTCCTTACCTCAGTTAGTGTAAAGGTTGGTTTGCCTCTTTCTGTTACATTAATTATTTTCATATACTTTTTTTATATATAAAAAGCCATACTTATTCATCATTCAACTACTACCTTGGATTTAAAATATAAGATCCTATCAAATAGTTTCTGATGATCTTATTTTATAAGATTTTTTTAAAAAAAAATTATTGTATTAATTAATTTTTTTAATTATTTTTATGAATACAAAGTAATTAACTAGGTGAAAAGAGGGTAAGACAATGAATTTCAATAATTTTAAATTTTTTTTAAAATGTTAACTTTAATTTTTAACGCTCAGTTTTAGCAACTAATAAAATAAATTTTTATTTAAAAATATTATCACACTTTTTTTTAACTTTAATATAATAAAATTTTACTATTTAGAATTTAGAATTCAATTTTTGAGTCTGAGATTAACAAAATTTTGTAAAATAATTAAAAGATTCTTATATTTAAAATGAAAATATTTTCATTACTTTTTTTTACATTTCAAAATTACACATGAAAGAGTATTTTTATTATTTGAATGTCATTTTCATATTAATTTTTTTCTTCATGCATTCTTTTATGTATTAAGATTCTGTAATTTACTTTCTTCTCTAAGTTTTCCTTAAAAAAGTTAACAGTTTTGGTTTTTGTTTATGGGATGATTGGAATAGGTGGAGGAAGGGTGTCAGCTGAACACAGTGGATGAAATTGCAGCTGCTGTGAATCAACTATCACTCACGGTTCATGAGGAAGCTGCTTTCAGCTAAAATAAACTTGGAAATATTAAAAGGTTAATGCACCCTGTATGATCAACAATTGTGCAAAAATGCTTTGAGATCCGAGTTGAAACGCGTTGAAGTTTGCAGGACCCGTGAAGGCATATAGAACAAGAGATAGGCATGTACAGGCATCCACGTTACCAACGGGATATATACATGTTCCATTTCAATAAGCTAGGAAATGCTAAAGTATAGGTTTTCTTTTCTTTCTTTTTAGATTGTTTTTATTTTTTTACATGTTTTGTTTTTCTCCCAGATCTAGAAATTAGGCCAAGAGGGATAAAAATTATGTCGGAAGCGACAATCAATTTATGTTGTGGAGGCCCTCACCTACTTGAACTGTGTATCCACTTGTGAATTATTATCGTTATTTTCAGAGCATGAGCTTCCTTAATTTCCTTGGAATGTCTGTGGACCTCTTACAATTATTTTTTTCCTGTAGAAGATTTCAATATTAAATAATTCCCTCATGCCACTTAAAGACACACCTTAGAAGAGGAGGAACATTAAAAAGAATACTATATATACGCCTACAAAAAGAAGGAAAGGAATTTGATCTTAATACAATGTACCTATTTTTATTTTTATTTTTTTTTAAATGGTTTCTACGGTTGAATCAATTGGCATTTGGCATCTAAATTATTATACGCGTTAGTGTATAATTGTACCCCATGATTTTTCGTTGTCCTTTTTTCGCGAAACCCGATACTACATAACTCCTCTAAAAATTGACCATTCTGTGGCCTATTTGACCCTTTGGTTTACAGGAGGCATGGAATCAGTGATATGTAAAGATCATGTTTCTGCTCATGATGATGCGCATAACTAAAACAAAACGAAGATATACTTGCGATTCGCTTTGAAGGTAAAATATTATTTAAATTATTCTGTAAATGGTATTAAAATTAAAATAATTTAAATTGGCATTTTACAGTTTGAATTGGATCTTTTTTTCTATTTGAATTGGATTTCTTTAACTTTTGAGTACTAAATGAATAAAATTTTATTAATTAGAATATGAATAAATTCTTAATTATATAATTTTTTCAATAATGATTTTTTCAATAATAATTATTAAATAAAAACCTAAATATAATAATTATAAAAATTCTTAAAATATATTTATTTTATCATTAATTATAATTGAATCTTAATTATAAATTTTAATTTTTTAATTTTTTTAAAATGATAAAAATATATTCAAAAATATACTTTAAACTAGAATTTTTATAAAAATAAAATAGAAAAATGAATATATTTTTTGTTTAGTTTGATTCAATTTTCAATATAAAAACTAAAAATTCAACAAAAAATACAAAAGTTAAAACTCACTGTATATTTTACTTATATTAAAATTCTAACATAATATGAGAGCCTAACCCAAAATTAAAACGTACGAACAAAATTGGTCAAACAAAAATAACAATTTAATCTGTAAAATAAAATAAAAATAGCACAAATCAAGACAATATTATATATTTATAAATTAAAAAATAACTGGATTATATTTTTATTATTATTAACTTCTTAAGATTTTTTACACAAATAATTAAAATAAACAAGCTATAATTTAACAATTTATTTTATAAAAAGTGACATTTTCCGTGATTTCATCATATATGTAAACGAAATAAAAGTAGTTTTATGATATTATATTTGTTTTAATCTTTTATGTTTCTTTGTACAAAAAAAAAATTAAAAAAAACCTGAAAATTTTGTGTATCTTTTTTCTTCACATAACCTCGTTAAGTAAAAATTTTATTTGAGAGGATTTATTTTCTTTAGTAACTATAAGGTTCAAGAATTAGAAAGAAAATATACGATAGCGAAAAAAAAAAAGAACAGAAAACATTAAAAAGAAAACAAACTTATGAAAATTGCAAGCCATGATTAAAAAAAAATTGGATCATACCTATTAGTTCAATCAGAAAATCGACGAATTGGGAAATTAATTAGTCAATTTCACCCATAAAACCAATTGATTTCAAAATTTGTAAAACAATCAGTGAAATTGATCTGAAATTGGTATTATATAAATGACACGATGAAGATTTAGTTTGAACTGTTTTAAAATTTAAAACATATTAGCATATATGAATTATTATTAATAAAAAATATTAACTATTTGAATAAAAGAAATATAATATACAACTTTATTAAATTATTCTTTTTACATTGACATTAACTAAAAAAAGGAATTTTTTTTTATTATAAACTTAATATAAATTTTTAAAAACTTTCTTATACATCACATTTGCAATACTTTTTGCACTTTTCCATCACTATTTAAAAATTTTGGTAAAATTAGTTTTTTCATTCTTTAATTTTAAGATAAAATTCGTTTTTATCTTCTAACTATTTTTTATTCAATTTAGTCCTTAAATTTATTTTTTTTACATGATCTAACAGAGATGTCTTAGGTGACGCTGAGATAGTCTAATACCGTTTATTTAATCTAACCTAAAATATTTTATTTAAAATGTTATTTAAAAGTAATAAGATTTATTTAAGTAACGTGACCTCTCACTTCTCCTTTCCTTCTTCTTTTTCCTCCTCCCACTGTTGCAGCTCCTCCACCCCTTTCCCCCAAACCCACTAGCCTTGTCTCCCTCTTTTACAACCCCCATTTCACCTTTCTTGCAACCCCCTCCCCTCCTACTATACCTCCCTTACTCTTTTCTATAACATCCCTATTTTTGCATTAATTAAAATTATATTATATGATAAATATGTATGTAAGGGTATATTGGAAGAGTTTTTGAAGTGTTAAACTTTAAGGCTCTCATTGTAGCGAGATAATTCTCGTTGCAACAAGATGAGCGGTCAAAATGAAACATTCTGGAGCGTTCTTGCTGTAGCGAGAGGTCTCTCGCTGTAGTAAAAAATGCAGAAAACATAATGCAATTTTATCTAATATTTTCGCTGTGGCAAGAGAGAGTCTCGCTCTAACGAGAAATGACTCACTGAAGTGAGAATGTCGCGATTCTGAGGGTATTTAAGAATTTTTTTTGCATGAAAAATCATATTTTCCTACCATTTTCATGTTCTCTCTGATTTCTCTCAACTTTCACCTTTCTTTTTTAGATAAAACTCCTCAAAATCTTGATTTTTCTTCGAATTTAATATCACAGAATCATCCTACACGATTTTAACTAAGTTTCTCTAAGTTTAATCGTATTTTTATCGTTCGTTTTCTTTGAATCTTGTTCTTAAGGAACAAATTCGTGTTATCTAGGTAAAAGTACTATTTTAGAACGTTCTTGATCAGCAACCTCCGTTTAGATCTTCATTATAAGGTAAGGGGAGCTCTATTTTATCACTAGATCATGTAAGTTATATGTTCAATTCATGAGAGCATGTTTATGTAGCAATTTTGATGAGGTATGTATGAGTAATGAGTATTAATGAAGAAAGATTACTGATATAAATATGTTTGATATTTTGATTGACTGATTTTACTGTGTAAATATGAAATGTATGATGAGAAAGCATATTATTATCATCGAATAAGTTTAATGAATGTACTGGATATAACCTTATTGTTGAGATATGTCTGAAAATGATGAATGTATCATCGATGATTTTTTGAATGATGTGATTATTGAGATCATGAGTAAGTGATGAGCAATATGGAAATAGTTTGAAAGTGCTAATAAGCACGATTTTATGATTGGATGATAGAATGAATATGAGAGCTGAATGGATTGGTGTAAATAGTTACAGATATATATTGGGGGTATGGAATCTGGAGACGATAAGGAAATCTTGAAGAAATATATTGTGGTGAGCGACATTCACGATTGTGCGCATATTATTGTTGAGTGTGAATACGCCACAAAACCTCATACTTATTTTTTGACTACATTCCTGAATATGTCTTTGCTAAAAGGCTTGCGATTGCATACGTTGTATCCGTATTGCATTAGCTAACTGGCGACTATTTACATTATTGAGTAAGACCTCAAGAATTGCTAGAGGCATCAAATGACTGTGATCACAGTATACTGAAAGTGTGTATTTGAAAATAGAATAATAAGAATATGATAAAATTATGTGGGTTTGTATGCTAGGAAGAGAATAATTGAAATGTAACATAAAGTGATAATTATTGTATATTTATGATTTTTGTAATAAGTGATATGATGCAATTGTGTTATATTTGAAAGGTAGAATAGTAGCTCACCCTTACACCATCCTGCAGGTAGTAAAGATGACAACTCATCCCATGCAAATTGATGTAATAGATGTCTTTGCTAGTAGCAAATTAACTATGTTTTTAGTGAATATAGACATATAGTACATTTGTATTTTAGGATACATTTTGAGAAAAATTAGGAGTGCACATTAAAAGTAATCTATAATTATGCAGTTCCGTTTGATTTTTTAACTAGTGGTCAAATTCATCAATCTCTTAGTTTTTATCCAGACCAGGGAATAGAAAGGTCTTCGCAGATCATGAATAATGTATTTACGTATTATGATCACGATTTGTTAGGAAGACCTAAATATTTGAGAGATTCCCTAGTATAGAAATAGTGGTGGATTCTAGTGACACCTATCTTAGAGAGGATGATAAATTAACCATTGAGTACTTGGCATAAATTGAGAGCTGACATAATATAGATGATTAGTTTTAAGTCCTCAGTATATGAGAATGAATATGAACTATTGTAAATTTTGATATGTTATGGATAATTATATGTAAATATTAATTTGTATTATATTTCATACAATTATCTTCTTAAATTTGTTTTGTATACGAATTAACTATTATGAAAGATTTTATTTTTGTAAATTTGATTAATGGTTTTATGAAAAATTTGGTTATTCTTTCTGAGATTTTATGGAAATGAATATAGTTAAAATGGAGAAATTTAAGGTGTAACATTTCCCCCCTAACCCACCAACCCGTAGCCCCTATTTCCCTTCAACTCTCCCAAGCCCTCCTCTTCTACTCTCGTTCTTTTTCTCTTATAAGTTTTCATATT